TGGACACCTGTCTGTCTCACCTGCATGTTAGTATTGGTATTAGATTTATAGAGATGGGTTTAGTGTTTGGACTTTATGAAATGCTTGTGAGTTGCTGCATCCATTAATCTCACTTATAATGTCTAAATCATGTTATAAGGTAATATTTAAGTGTTTGCTATGAAACTGGAAACCCTCAGAGTCAGGAGACAAGCATTATTGAGTGTGAAATACTAGTTCACCACAAGCAGGGCCGGCTCCAGGCACCAGCAAGGGAAGCTGTTGCTTGGGGCGGCCAATGGAAAGGGGTGGCACGTTCGGGTCTTCGGCGGCAATTCAGTGGTGGGTCCCTCACTCCCTCTCGGAGGGAAGGACCGGCCGCCGAATTGCCACCGAAGAATGAAGCGGCACAGTAGAGCTGCTGCCGAAGTGCCGCCGATCGCGGCTTTATTTTATTTATTTATTTATTTATTTATTGCTTCGCCGCTTGGGGCGGCAAAAAAGCTGGAGCCGGCCCTGACCACAAGAGATGTATTCTGCCCAGCAAAGGAAGGCCTATAGACACCAGACAAACCATTGTGGAACATCAGTGGATAGGGGACTTTGCTCCCCATCACACAAATGAAGAGAGGATGTGCACAAACCCTCGTCCCATCACAGTTTGAACTCCAGGGGAAGGGAATAAAATCTCAGAGCCGGAGGTTCTGTATCATTATGGTGCTTTGAATTTGGAGAGGGCAATATTTCTAAAAATAAGCAAGGGATCCCCAAGCTGCTTAGCTTAGCTTACCCCTAAAGGACCTATGGAGGTTGTACATTACAGCAGCTTGTTATTTTTTGAAGCCGAAGACTGTAACTCATTTGTGTGTTTACTTGCTTTAACCTTGTAAATAACTTTTATTTTTCCTAGTTAATAAACTTTTAGTTTAATATAGGACTGGCTACAAGTGTTGTCTTCAGTGAGAGATCTAAGGTACATTTGACCTGGGGTAAGTAACTGGTCCTTTGGGACTGGGAGTAACCTGAATATTGTTGCAATTTTTGGTGTAAGGGACCATCTACCAGAAAGGCAGGCATGCCTGTGTGGCAAGATAGACTGGAGTGCCTAAGGAGACTGTCTGTGACTCCATCTCAAGGCTGTTATAGTGCTTGAGGAGTTCACACTTGCTACTTTGTTGGTGAAATCTAATCATAGAACACACAACCAATTGGGGGTTTGTGCCCTGGTTTGTAATAGTCTGTTCTGAGGTTGGCACCCACGTTCGTGAGCTTGACAGTGGTGCAAATGCATTCTGTGGTGTTAGTCATCCCTACTGAATGTCCTGGTTCACATCACAAGGCCACCAAATAAACAGGTGCCATCTGTTGATTGTTCACTAGGCTAAGGATTCAGATATCAGCCATGTTATAAACAGATTTGTTGTGAGTGTTTACATGGTGACTGCTCTTGATATGAGGCTCTAGCCAGTACTATCAACTCTCATTTTCAAGATAACCAAATTCACTTCACTTAAAATTCAAAATGAAGAACTAAAAACCTTTCTTTAACTTTATTATAGTGCTAGAGTTGCAGTCCCCTCAAATGAGGAACTTGTTCTAGATTAATTTTTCTTAACCGCCTCTTATTTAATATGAATGTCAAAACTACTACCCATCATTAAAGCATTTGCTTTTTTAATAAGTTGAAAAAATACAGTGTTCTGCATAGGGTTATGTATTCAAATAATTTGAATGGAATAGTGTAGATTGATAGGGTGTGGACTTGGTTAGGTGTTCTAGCAGTTTCCCATTTTTGTAAAGATCATAAAAAGATAAACTTTCTTTTGACCATACAACAGAGAAATTTTTATTCTGTGAATCTGGTAATAAGTTATGCTTTACTGCAATGCTATTATGTACATCTGTTTGAAACTAAAACCCCTTTTAGTCAAAGGGTACTGTCATGTCTTATAAACAATTGTAAATGGAAAAAGACTCTGCCATAACAACAGATGCAAAACCTGCAGACATATCTCCACTGCTACGATGATCAATACCCCCCACAACACAGCTTCCAAGATCTACCGGTCCTACACATATCCATCACAAAGTGTGGTATACCTCATCCAGAGCACTAAATACCCTAGTAACACTATGTGGGTGGAAATCAGACAGTCCCTACACTCTTGAAAGAACTCCCAGGGAAAAATGATATGGTGTTTTTTGTTTTTTTTAATCACCCGTGGACAAACATTTTTCACAAAACAATCTTACCTCTGTCCTCGTCCTCAAAGGAAACCTGCACAACACTTTCAAAAGATGAGTTGGGAGCTTAAATTCATAACTTAGCTAGACATTGAAAATGATGGTTTTACTAAATATGCTGGATTTATGGCTTATTACAATAATCTGAAACCCATGAACCCCCCCCCCGCCCCACACCTTGAATGGTGTCTCACAATATGTGGAATTACTTATACTGAACAATCTATTCCATCTTATTTAGCTGTGATGCTTTTAGTATCTTTCCCAGACCTGAAGAAGAGCTTTCCTCTCTCACCAACAGAAGTTGGTCCAATAAAAGCTATTACCTCATCCACCTTGTCCTCTAATATCCTGGGACCAACACAGATACAACAACACTACAAACAACAATGGGAAAAAGTTGTATTACAACACAGTATACGTCTGCACTCCTGTTACAACTATAAAAAGTTCTCCCAAGCATAATTGATGAGCCACTATCTCTTATTGTTTCTTCAGTTCTCTTCGTATGCTGCTGTTTCTGGATGCCTATTGTATTGGGTGTAACAAGTTTCTGGTGTTAAGTTCTTCATGTAAGCGGCAAGGCTTTAAATACAGGATGACCAGCATTAAAGTGAATGTGAAAGTCACAAATTCAGGCACCAAAGAGATGATTTTTTTAAATGGGTTGGTTATAAATTGGCCTCCCCTTAGCAAGATACACTATTAGGCCAATATTTATTTTTCTATATACTTGTTTAACTGTGGATTTTTTGGGGGGGAGGTGGTTCAAGATTTGTTTCTACTGAAGTCTTTAAACCTGTTTGCTAAGAATCCTTTGCTTAATAAGAAACTTGCGAAGTGCTTTTTACTTGTAAAGGCCTCATTGTTTGGAGGGTTGTGTGCTGCTAGTGCACTACTATTCCATTTCTACCTAGGCATTCTGAATTAGTTGCAAGATTAGGATGAGAAAACTACAGAAAAGGCCCACACAGACACATGTGGCCTTCTAAAGGTTGTTTATCACTGTTTCAGGGTTGGCCAAGTTTAGGGACCTTGGCAAGACTTATGTAGTTGCAAACAAAAAACGTTCCAAAAGCCAAAATGTTATCAGTTGTTCCCATCCTTTACCATTTAGCGTCCTTACTCCCAATCCAACTGTTGGGATATTGTGTTCCTTAGTGAGTGATAACCAGAAACGGGCACTGTGCCTAACAGGAAACACAACTCTTGCATAGCAAGGCCTTGGTTATTCCATTATGTAAATGCCAGAACAACACCTCCCATCTGTTTTGCTCCAACGTATTATAATATAATACTCTAAATATTTAAATTTCCATTTGTAATGAACTGCTACAGTTCTCATAGGAGAACAAGGATATAAGTCAACACTGTTCTTTGTGTGCAACCCTATAGTAATATACCTGTGTGCGTACATGATAGAGGGGAAGATTTCTAGTAAGATAATATGCTTCAGATTCAAACTTCCAAAGGGTGGTTATAAATATGGATAACATTTGAACTCTGTCCTTTAAGCATAGTGGTAAACATTAAATGGTGTATGGCTCTTTGAGTGCTGTATCTTTGCCTCAGCTTGTCGTAAATATGTATAGGCATCTTGGTGTATTTTTTCCTACCAGATTGTATTTCCAAACTGCCCTTCTGCAGGGAATCTGTCGATTTTTGTCCTTTTCACTTTCTTGTTACCAAGATCTGCTGGGATCTGGTCATCTTGTTGTGGCGCAAGCTCAGTCCATTGTTTCTTGCAGTCAGTATGACTTGTTACTTAGATGTTATCTCTTTGCCACAGGAGCCTTCTTTTTGTTCCATGTGGGCATAGCAGCTACAACAGTGGGGTCCTGGCCCACAATTGGGGCTCCTAGGTGCTGTGATAATTAAGGCTAAGATTTTGTCTCAGACATTTTTAGTAAAAGTCACAGACAGGTCATGGGCTTCTGTGAATTTTTCTTTTTTGCCCGTGACCTATCCATGACTTTTATTAAAAATATGCATGACAAAACAGGGAGCTCTGGGATCCGTACACTACCCTGGGGCCCCCAGCTCAGACCCCCTCTGCCAGCTTGGGACATCCCTGCCACCCGTGGTGCCTGGGAGCTCCCAGGGCACCCCCGTGACATCTCAGAGTTTGGGGGCCCCCACAGTTCCCAGCCATCATGGGCTGTGGGGAGACCCTGCAGCTCCCAGGTGCCATGAGCTCAAGTCACAGAGGTCTGTGGAAGTCACTGATTCGTAGCCCTAATGATAATACAAATAAAATGACATACTGAAGATGACTCTAGGTTATGGTTAGCAATGGGCAAAAGTAAGTTGCCCAAATCTAGCACCTATTAACATGAAGATGCAGCTGGTTTGTCACCTGACTAATTTAAACTCATGGGGTTAACTCTGACAAGTGTATGTGCATTTATCCTCTTGCTTGTATCAAAAATTTGGCTCCTGGTGAAACCTTAAAAATATTTGATGTTTGGGATGGAGGGAGAAGACTTGACACTTGTGAAGTTACTGGGTGCTTGGGTTTCAGCAGCTGTGTTTAATAAAATCACCATCCACATAAAACACCAAAATGCTCCTTCTTGGCTTCTAAACTTCCTACAGTTTAGTCAGTCCTGAGCTTAACGGGGCCTTTGGCTTATCAGAGACAAAGTTAATGGTAAATCCAGTTTCTATGAGCTGGGTATGCTGTTCCTCCTTTTCTCTTCGTGCTTCTGAGCATGTGTGTTGACCATGTCATATCTATTGAAAACATAACTGTTAAATATTTGCTTTTCCTCCTTTAGGTTGGGTTGATGTCGACCATGGGATAACAAAGAAAATGCAGCTAATAGCAGAGGCTGAGGTAAATATTTTTTAACATTTACTTGGTGGGGGGGATCCAGACTCCTGGAAAACATGAAACTTTTTTTTGTGTGTGTTTGTCTATTGTTCGTTTAATGCTCTATAATGCCATCATTTCAGACATAGCTTAGGAGTAGTGGTTTTACACAAGCCTTTATTCTTCCCCTTCTCCCCTATTCCTATGCCCCCTGTACAGCATCTGTGTCAAAATATTAACTCGGCTGTTTGTTTTTCTTTCTCAGCCTGTGTTGTACTTGGGCCCCAAAAGGTTAATTCTACAAATAAGCATGTGAACTTTGACACCCGTATCCAAATTGACTGGCTTTGGCTGTATTACCCCTTGACAGTATAGCTGGGACTGCTATTTTTGGCAATCTGTAGTTTTAATGTTTAAAGGAAAAAGTTCCTCATGGTACCATCCAGTGAATGGGCTACTCGCTGCCTGGTATTCTTGCCTGTTGCTATGGAGCCAGCTAAGACACTTTCTCCCACCCTTTTCAGCAGGGAGTGCTGCACTCCTTCAGCAGCCACAGATGACTCTCCTAGTGCAGACAAGGTTGTGTTGTCCATAAATGTGTGTGAGCAGGAGATGCAGACAGTCTGATGTGGGTTCTAATTTCTAGAGAATTTCTTCATTCTTCATGACACCTTTTTTGAAAGGGGACCTACAAGAATATCCCAGCTTCCAACATAATAGTCTGTGAAACTGTAGTGTGGTTTTTAACAGTGACTTAACTCCCTGCATGCTACATCTGGCAGTGTTCTCCTGAGTTATGTGCTTGGTCACTCTACAGTGATATGGGGGTTAAAAATACTACCAATTTCTGGTAGAGTGGTGAAGCAGCTTTTTTCCTCAAGCTGCTTGTCTGCTGAATGCCCTATTTGTCTTTGCCATTTAGAGCATTTGACGTATGTCTGCAGGATGATATTTTAACACTAGTAGATCACTTTTAAAGGATCACTGTTCAAAGCAATAGGCCCAGAGTTGAACTGCCTCTTAAAGAGAATCACTTTTAAATTCTCTGGAGTCTGAAATTTAAAATTCTTCCAATATGAAGGCAACAACATAAAGTAACATCTCAGTTGAGTCATCACAATGACACAACCATGGCTGCTTTTGTTAGGGATGTGGGGGCACAAGCTTGTTTGCATGTCCTGCTCTGATCTTCGAACGGGAAGGCTAACTATCAACACTTAGTCATGTGTTCAGAGAGACTTCTGGCTTCCTAGCCTGAATAATATCACTTTTAATAAACTTTATTCAGTCAGTGTCTTCTCTAGTGGAAGTGATGTTAGCTTTTGCTCCCAATGGAGGTGTTATGCGGCTTTTACTACCTTAAACGTCTGTAGGGCTTCCTTTTCCTGTCCAAGCATCTTCTGCCTAGAAGGTCTTGAAATGAATATCAGAAAAAAACATGTTTTCTTCACTTTACTTAAGAATACGTAAAATACTTTGGAACACCAAGGGAAATTCCTTTGCCATCTCCCCTTCCCTGGGCACCAGAAGTGGAGTAGAGAACTTTGACATAGGAATGAATTTTTATACTTGATCAGAACAGAAATTATACACACTTCCACAGTCGTCCTTCCCAAATGGTTTCCCAACTCTCCTAAACAAATATCCATTGGCTTTATTAAACCATTTGTTAAACCTTTTCCCCCATGGTTGCCATTATTCTTGTTAAGACAAAGAAGGAATTTCCAAACCTTTCCATGCTATTCTGCAAGGGTGCCCTGTACCCATACTAAGTGGGGCAGCATTGAGTTCACTCTTCATCCTAGCAACTAGTTTTCTTTTGTTTGCATGTTCTTCAGGACACACTGTGCCTTACTCACACCTTCTATTAACATCACAAGAGTTCCACAGCAATGATCTGTAATTTCACAGTCTTACTTGATGCCAGAGAATGAATAACTCTTAGAAGGAAAGGTGAATGCCCTTGCCTCGGAGAAGTCTCATTTCGCAATCTTGGTATTCTGGCTAGTGGGTGGTGAACACACAGTTTCATTATACGACGGGGTAACTAGAGTGGATTTGAAGGCTTTGCACAAGAGGGGAAGATGCGTCTATATGCATTTTGGTGCACTAATGTGGCCAAGTTTAGGATTTCAATGAGGCAAACAGTTTTGGTAAGCTTTAAAATGTTCTTGGCAATTGGGAACTCTCCTGACTTAAATTTTACTTACACACACACACACACACACACACAAAATGTCACGTCAGCTTAATAAAGATTTACCTTTTTTGTAGGGCTGTCGATTAATCGCAGTTAACTCACGCAATTAACTCAAAAAATTAATCATGATTAATTGCAGTTTTAATTGAATAGAATAACAATTGAAATTTATAAAATTTTGGTTGTTTTTCTATATTTTCAAATATATTGATTTCAATTATAACACAATACAAAGTGTACAGTGCTCACTTTATATTTTTTATTACAAATATTTGCACTAAAAATCATAAACTAAAGAAATAGTATTTTTCAATTCACCTCATACAAGTACTGTAGAACAATCTTTTTATCGTGAAAGTGCAACTTATAAATGTAGATTTTTTTGTTTATTGAGTGCAGTTATGTAAGTCACAAGTCCACTCAGTCCTACTTCTTGTTCAGCTAATCTCTAAGACAAACAAGTTTGTTTACATTTGCAGGAGATAATACTGCCCATTTCTTATTTACAATGTCACCTGAAAGTGAGAACAGTTGTTTGCATGGTACTGCTGTATCCAGCGTTGCAAAATATTTATGTGCCAGATGCGCTAAAGATTCATATGCCCCTTCATGCTTCGGTCACCATTCCAGAGGATGTGCTTCCATGCTGATGACGCTCGTTTAAAAAAAAAAAAAAAAAGCGTTAATTAAATTTTTGACTGAACTTTTTGGAGGAGAATTGTATGCCTCTTGGTCTGTTTTACCCACATTCTGCCGTATATTTCATGTTATAGTAGTCTCGGATGATGACCCAGCTCATGTTCGTTTTTAAGAACACTTTCACTGCAGATTTGATAAAACACAAAGTGTTACAAATGTGAGAATTCTAAAGATCGCTACAGCACTTGAAATCTGAAGTGCTTTCCAAAATCTGAGTGGGATGGGGTGTGGAGCATGCTTTCAGAAGTCTTAAAAGAGCAACACTGGTGCAGAAACTACAGAGCCTGAACCACCAAAAAAGAAAATCAACCTTCTGCTGTTGGCATCTGACTCCAATGATGAAAATGAATATGCGTTGGACCACACTGCTTTGGCTCGTTATCAAGCAGAGCCCATCATCAGCATGGACGTATGTCCTGTGGAATGGTGGCTGAAGCGTGAAGGGACATATGAATCTTTAGCGAATCTGGCACGTAAAATATCTTGTGACGCCGGTTACAGCAGTGCCAAGCGAACGCCTGTTCTCACTTTCAGGTATTGTAAATAAGAAGCTGGCAGCATTATCTCCTGAAAATGTAAACAAACTTGTTTGAAAGATTGGGTGAACAAGAAGTAGGACTGAGTGGACTTGTAGGCTCTAAAGTTTTACATTGTTTTATTTTTGAGTGCAGTTATTTTTTGTACATAATTCTACATTTGTAAGTTCAACTTCCATGATAAAGAGATTGCACTACAGTATTTGTATTAGTATTTTTCAATTCACCTATCTTGTTTTTTACAGTGCAAATATTTAGAATATAAAATAAAGTGTATTCTGTGTTGTAATTGAAATCAATATATTTGAAAATGTAGAAAACATCAGAAAATATTTAAATAAATGGTATTCTGTTATTGTTTAACTGAGTGATTAATCGTGATTAATTTTTTTAATAACTTGACAGCCCTATTTTTTTGCATATAGCGTGAGGGAGATGGGGAGCAAATTTCCTGCCACAGCTTAGCTTTGTGACATCATCAGAAAATATGGTGGTGATAGAGACTGATGGGCTACAGAAAGCCCTCTAGCTTACACAGCTTGTTGTGGAGTGAATTCGGGTCATGGGGAAATATGGCAGCAAACAAACTTGGGAGCAATTAAATATGAACATGGAACATAATCTTTTTATTAGCTGTTAACCACACTTAACCCGTGTGCAGCTACAGCTTCAATGAGACACTACGTAACTGTATAAAAAGGGGTCAGTTTAGTAATCTCGAAGACCCTAATTCAGGAAAGCATTTAAGCATGTACTTAATGTGCATTCCTGAATCTTGGCTTAAAGCAGAGGACCCCAAATTGTGGGGTGCGACTGGGACCCGGGCCAGCCCCCATGGGGGGGCAGGAAGTGAGTGCCACCCATCTCTGCTTCTGGCCCCAGCCCCCTTACTCCTGTTCATGCTGCCCCCTCCCCCACAAGCCGCAGACCCACTTCCGGGGGTGGAGGGAATAGGAGTAAGGGGGGGCACAACCCTGAAAAGTTTGGGGACCACTGGCCTAAAGTAAGATTCAATTGCTCATGGATGGAGCTGCACACAAGAAGACAACATGCACAGACTAATTACTGATTATCACTTTTTCAAATAATTTTTGAAAATGTAGAATTTAAACTAAACAGCAAATTCTTATCTATCTTAGGGTTTTATACTGCTACCCATCACCATAGTGTCTGTGTACTTTCCATGTAAAATCAATAGCAAAATCCTTAGCAGATTTTTTGTGGAGCCTCTGACACTACTCTTTTCTCAGTGTGAACTATTGTTGGAATCTAAACTTGGGTCTAAATTTTCAAATGCAGGAGCTTTGAGTTGGATCCCTAATTATAGATTTAGGCCCTAACAAGTCCATGTCTTTGAGGTGCCTAAATCCCACTGATTTGAATGAGAGTTGTGGATGCACAGCACTCTTGAAAATCAGGCATTCTTTATTTAGGTGCCTAAGTCTATGGTCTAAGATCTGAACACTTTGTCCTTTCCTAGACTGTAAACTCTAAGCAGGAGCAATGCACTCTTCTATCACTCGGTTAGCACTGCAATTGAGCACAGTGGCTCTTGGCTGATAGCTAAACAACTAAAGCTGTTAAGGCTG